GTTGGTCAATTAAATTCTGAGCGGAGCGAAGAAACTATCAGTTATACAAAAATGATTTTTTTTTCTCGTTAGTTAATGCTTTTTCGATTTGTAAAAAACACTGGCATCGTACTTTGAATTTATTGCCCAACGGTACTTTATTTGAAACAGTTTCTAGATTTCCGAAATTTGTTCTATACATTTTATATAAAAAAAAATCTGTTCTAGGATAACGGGGACGGGTGCTGCCACTGTTATAGGTAATTTAATGTGTATCTGTAAGCAACGATTAACCATTGCTAACGACAAAACGATTCTGAACAGAATTCGGTTGATATTGTTGTTTTTCCAACAATATGTATGTCATATTATGGCAAAATAGTTACATATTATGCATTATATATTTTTTTAATAATATTTGTTGAATATTTTACCTATTTTCCCATTTTTCCTGCTAGGGGAAGTCAAAAAATTACCTTCTTAAAATACCTCCCCAGTCAGATTTCTATTTAGAAAAAGTGCTATCATTATAAATTAGAGCGAAATTACTGCAAGGAAAATTGTTCACAGATAAAAAAAAAAAAAAAAAACATCATTGTAAAATCAATATCAAGACATCGGTTTTATTTTCGATGATTTCTAGATTACCTTGGCTACAAGGAAAAGAGCATAATCCATACAGTTTCGCTCGGAATCGTTTTTCGATTATAATAATTTATTGTGGCTTTCGATTAAATATAAACTAAATTATTTCATAACGTTCAAATTTCTCGCTTACTACTTTAACCCATCTACCTCCTGTGTATTACAGTAAAACGCCAAGGTAAAAACAAAACCAATTCTAATGATTAAATAGTGTTACATATTATGGTGTAGAATTCAGGATCTCAGTATATAGCCTAAGACTCTGGGCAAGACACAGAAACTTACAAACTTAATATATATACAATGTACAAACTATAATAGTGTTATTAGACATGAATTTAATTGATATCAAGATACTTTATCAATTATTTAAATTGTCTAGTTAAATGACAAACAATATTAATTATACGTATAGTATATTCGATGGACTGTTTATAAATTATAATAACAACATGGCCATAGATAATAAAGATTATTTATTATCTACGACCACAACCCGTATTTAAAATTGTGTAACATATTTATACGGTATATAAAATATATTTCAAATTTAAAATTGAATTTGTCATTTGTCACCGCGGCTTTTATTCTGGGATATTCAAAACTAGTCAATAGAGTGCTAAGTCGTCGCTCTTCAGTGTAATTGACGAACATTTTTTATCCCTCCCCAGGGACTTGTCCTAATTACATCACTGATCTACATAACCGCGCTGCAAGTATAACTGTTTATCGTTGGTCGATTATTTGATTGATTTTGTATGACCTACGTTTAATTTCTAGTCGTTTTAGTTTAGCAAAATTGAGTGTATTAAACTGTACTTATTTTTTATATAGCACGTCATTAATATTATTAATATTATATTGTTCGAGTGATATTACGATTTTCGTAGAACGGAATAAATTAAAATATTAATAATCTGTTTAAACGATATCGTTTTTCCGTCGACTCGAAAAAAACACGTTTCGCCTTCTAAATTATATAGTATTAATTATGTGTTACATATATTATAATAACGTATAATATATTACCTACGATTTCACGGTCTCTGCTCTGGAGGGCTCATAAATAAACGCATATTTGTTTTATTCAACCGTGAATCCATTTTAACAAGATGAGCGATGTCTCGATGAATTCTTTTTACAAAAAAATCGACGTTTCTGCACATTATGCGAACATTTCGTATAAAAATGTTTAGAAAAGAAAAAATAAGAGCTTATCCTAGGCATGGGTTTACCAATTATTGTAGGTGGGAAGTTAGAAAAGTAGGTAACATAAAGTTGTTGAATTTATATCTGTACGGAAAGATAAACCATCGCTAACGAAAAACGATTCGGAGCGAAGTTCGGTTAATAGTGTGTCTTTGTCATTATATATATATATATATATATATATATATATTTATATATGCCATTTATTTAGTTTATACATTTAATACCTATTTTTTGCGCTCAATTATTATTTTAAACCACTAAGTATAACAACTAATAACGAATGAATCTCGTTTTATTAATTTGCTGGACCAAAACAATTGTATCCGCATAAAACCAAAATGTTATAAAGGGTGAACACGAGTATATAGCAGTATGGTGTAATTTATTTTCGGTCGAAATTTAAGGTATTTTGACCTCGACTACACGAAAAATAAAACAAAATCGAAATTTAATACGAACCTAAAATCCGTGTAGCGTAAATATCTTGTTTTACCCGATGATGATGAAAACCGCTTGGAAAATCAAAAACTAACTTTCACGTCGCGTGGACTAGATTGTTGTAGACGAAAAAGTTCTTTTGTCGATTTTTCATCGGAACAAGATTTCTGGTAGAAAAGTTGTTTGCGTGATGGAGAAATAAAACCTCGAAGCGAGCGTACACCGGCCGAATAACATATTTCGTCAATAATCGTCGTATTGTGCACGCGCGCACGACTTATACGTAAATCGTCCGGGTACCTGTACGAATACTTAAACGGTTTTTAGTTTATTAACACTAATAGTATTATGTGGCATAATATTATATGCTTATATGGGTATTATGCGTGTATATAAGTACTACACCTGCGTTATCGGAGAATTAAATAATATTAAAAAAAAAAAAAAAACGTAAAAAAACTTAATAATAATAATATGACAGTTAAATAGCCCATTACTCCGCTGTCGTCGAAATCGTTTATATTCTGTGGGAGAGGGAGGGGGAACGGACGACGGCGGTCTTTGATGACCGAATATTGTGCCGCGCAACCTGCTCCGCGAGCCAAATGAATTGTCGTCGTCGTCGTCGTCGCCGAAGGTGACCGCACACTGGTAAAGCGGTAAAGCGGAATAATTGAATGCGAAAGAACCATATTATTGTTGTTTTTTTTTTTTGCTCTTATAGTTACAATAAAACGTGTTTTTTTTTTTATTGGTTTTACAATAATGTTTATTTTAATTAATATTGTTTTTTATCCGTAAAAAACTTTTCTACCAATAATCATTTGAATTGGGAAGTCCCGAAGTTTTTTCTAGATGCACACACTACGCGCGTTGCACTTTTTAATTATCAAACAGCATTCATTATTATTCGCTAAGTAAAGCGTTTGAAAACAAAACAACTATGAACTAACAAGTGGTCTAATAATTTAGTGATTATGGTTAATTTTATTTCGAGGTCAACATAAATCCGGATGCCCCATAGTTTTGAACGCTTTGGCGCCCCGGGGAAAATGCCCCCATTATTCACCCTTAACACGGCCCCGAGTCCAGATGTATTACGAAGATGCGCGCATTTATTTTTCGTTAAACAACGGGCTGCACTCGATACTTGACATCTCTTCATTGTTACCTCAGGGTGATTAAATGTTCACAAGAATTTCTGGACGCCAAAATGTAGTTGAACAGATTTACATTGGATACTTGCAATTGCGAGTCTTAGACTCTTGTTCAACTTATAAGACAATATGAGCATATACGAGCAAAACAGGAACAAAAACGAAAAATTTGGAATACCTACGCGCATATTCTTAAATACACCGGCGTCCCTCTATTACAGTCATAATAAATCACGTAAAAAGAGATTTTTTTTTTATTTCATAGTTCGCTTTAAGCGATATTTTGTATACATATATATTTTTTTTCTTTTTTACATTACCGGTGTGCGGTCTTCCCGCTATATAATAATATATACAATGACGACGAAGTGACAACAGTTATTTTCTCTGGCCGCCCGCGAGTTTATATAGTAATAATAATAATATATTATGGTCCGAACGTGGGTGGTTAGTACACCGCAGTCGTACTATTTTTTACACGTACAATAATACTTGTAAAACAACGTTTCCCGATCTTTGGGTCGCGATTATTTTTGATTAGGTAACCGACACTTAAAAATTAAAAAAAAAAAAAAGAGACTTCAGGCGAAAGGCACACGTAACAGTTAAAAGCTTTAATCAGGACGACCTTTACCCTTTTTTACGTTTTTGTCACTAAATACTAGGTATAAATTTACAAAATGCAAATTAACTATTTACAATAAAACGAGTAGGCAGAGAAAATGATACGTAACAATACTTTATGGAAATACAAAATGGAGATTAAATATATAAGACGTAGGTTCATCATTTGATGTACCAAATTCCAAATTATTATTTAATGTTTTTTTTTCTTTTTATCTGATAACGTGACAACACGGAATATAAATTTCATTTTTTTAAGTAAATACGAGTACATATCATTGAAAAAAATCGAAGATTTAATTTAACAACCGTAATTGATACATTCAAACGGGGGTATGGGGGAGTATTCTCTAACCGTCAACTTTAGTTTTGAAAAAGTCGAAAGTTGAAATTAAAATATCTTGGGTCACATGTCGATGATGGTCGGAGAACCACTGTTATAATATATTCTACAGTTTTACTTCATCTGCTGCGACATTATTGCGTGGTGTGACAATAATATGCCTACAGTGGGAGGGAGGTTAGGACTGTAAACCCCCTCACCTATAGGTTTAAAAATAGTAGAAGGTCCTACGATTAATTGATTAGTTGTTATTTACTACATCTTATTCAATATTAAACATTTCTAGACACACTGGGCGCCACACGTAACGACGCTGTACATCGGTATCCCGAGGGGAGGCACATACCACCTCATCCTCCGCTATTGACCGTGTTTATTTATTTTTAAGACATATTTTCTCCGCTACCCGCCGTGTAGTATCTAGAAAAACGGTGCATATAATATCATGGGCGTCCGTTCGGAGAGGGGGCAATGGGCCTGAGACATGTCTTCTCCCGGCTTTCCCGTACTTACGTAGCACGACACACAATATGTTAAAAGTCTTACAAAAAGTTCAATGTCATTGAATTACACAATTTAAAAATATTACGATAATAATGTCCCGTGGATTTTCGAATACGAATGCCCTTGGTACACATGATGATAATTGGTAGGATAGCCCATAATATTACGTAACGCAGATTTCCATAATTATTATATACGTAATGTATAGTATTTATGGAAAACATTTAAAAATCAATTAAAAATACCGTCACTTTGTAGATTCTAAGTAAAGCGAAAAAGCATATTGTACAATATAGTTTTGCCGTGAAACGTGTATTATTCTTGGAAAACCTCTTTGCGGTTAGTAAAACAACGAAAACGCTCAGACCGATTAAATAGATCATTCCTATACAGATAGAATTATGGATAATAATGACGAACAAAGCATAAGATTTATAATAATCGATCTACTGCGTGTGATTGGCTTCGCAGTCATTTCATCCAGTACAACGTCCTCTGGATCCATCGAAACATTTCTATGGACTGCCGGCATAGCCAATCCATTTAATCGATTCTAATGAACAAAACATTTAGTTATTAGGTACGCAATGATTGTATAGTATTCTAATATTCAATTATAAATACGCCTCTGACATTGTATTCCGCGTGTAATTTTTAACAATGTAACGCTATAGATACCAATTATGATTTTAATTTCTGGTCTAAATAAATTTATATTTAAAAACGAATTTTAATTTGTATTTATAATGAACGTCCCAGATTTAGTTTAAAGATTGCTTATACCATAAAAAAAAAAAAAAAGCCAGAGGGGGGATTCGACACCCAGCATATCTCCTCCAGTTCGCATATTATTACTGTTAAATATTTTTATTTATCATGCATCAATAGTCAATATAAACTTTCAATGTGTAATTGAACTTGTTAATTTAAATTCAATCGGAAAAAGTTTCTTTTTCTTTTTTGCTAGGTACAAAAATCAACATTAAAAGTATTCAATATGAAGTATTATATATGTATACAAAAATAAACTGAATCAAATATTTACAATAAATATTGTAAAATGAAATACATAAACGGCAGTACTGAGAACAGAAAAATTAAAATTTAATTTCAAATTTTGAACAAAATCATTCGACTTTAACCTGTTTAACATAGCTTAACAAGGATTTTTATAAAAAATTAATTGTAAAAAGTTATGTTTATCCAATAGAAAACTGCCTATTCAAGTTAGTTATAGTTAACGATAAAAATAATTAATAAACTATTTAAGTTAAAAAGTGTTTAAACACCTAACCTAACGAGTTAATGCCATTGCTATTTCAGTATAAAGTTTATTTTATTAATTTTGTTTAGATTTTCTCAAAACGTATTGAGAAATGAATAGAAATAGCTGATTATAACCAATTCGTAACCACTAACCTGCAGCGCACTAACCTCTCTGGAAATATTTAAGGTACCTGCTGCCTAAATACTATACGGTTTTATTTACAAATACATAAAAAAAAACTAGAAAAATATTCGAAAGTATTTTTCAAAGGCGTCCTATATTCGAACATCGCAATTTAAAAGGAAATCTGTATTTTACGGATAAATACAATCTCTAATAACTGTCTAATTGCTATTTATCGATGAATACGTTAAAAATACATGTATATATATATTTTTTAGAAGTCTACAAGTATAGGTGTATAGCTGTGTAGTATTATTATCGCATTACCTACGTACATATTATAATACGCATTAATAATAATCGTTGTTTTTGTCGTCGTCGCCGTCGTCGGTCGTGTCGGGTTTATAATACAATATTATAACGAGTATAGGTAACGCGCGATTTAAACAAAAAAAAAAAACAAAAAAAAAAAAAAAAAAGAGGAAGAGAAAAACGATTAATTCGTCTGTCCGATAAAAATCGACTCGCTTCTCAGACACCTCTGCATATTATAATAATACGTGCGCGTATAATAACAACAATAATGATAATAAAATTTAAAAAAAAACTACGTACCTAAAACGCTTTTTTTTCCCGCCGCCGCCTCCTCGTCGTCGTCGTATAAAACGTATAAAGCGTACATTAATATCCCGAGTGGCGAGCGCGCGTCACAATAAAACGACCGCGGAAAGACACGACGCGTCCTTACCTCGGCGTACACGGTGGGGGCCGCCTTTTTTTTTCCTTGTCTTTTTTTATGCGCATTTATTCGAATCGCGCGCCTTGTACGCGGACGAAAGTCCGTTTTCACTGAGTAATATTTCCGCGCGAAAGGCAGCCGCGTTTTAACGCGCTCGGAATTCAAACGAGTGGAAAACCACTGTATGGAGTGGGGGGGCGCCCACGTAACGGCGTATAATATGCACAACGGACGCATTTTCAATTTCAACGCCGGGAAAGCGTGTCCGCGGCTCGTGAATATCAAGTTTATATCTACGGGCGCCCGGACGGGGGAGGGGGAAATACGGGGCCACCCACCTGGACTTCGAGGAATTCAAATATAATTTGAATAACCGAATAACTCGTATGGTTTCGTTATAATTGTTGGCGTTTGATTTTTCTGACGTACCTACCGGTGTCGGCCAGGCCATCAAAGGTCCTTATACATGAGGGGTTACACACGTAGGGGAAAAAAAAATACAGGCCATTCGAAAAACTTTACTCTCAGACACTTGCCCTATCCCTGATGCGATTTCCCGCTGGCGCCCATCGTGGGAAAGATTCGTCAATGAGAGCGAGCCGGGAGGTTTACGGGTCTACGGCCTTCTCGGCCGTACCTGTGTTACGCCGCCGATAGGCACCTGTATCGTAACGCGTCTTGGACCCGGGAACATTCTTTTTTTTTTCTTCATCTCTCGTCACCGAGATCTTTCGAAATAGGCCCGCGGTCGAGGCTCGCGAGCCGTATACGCCGCAGCGGGTAATAACGACGTCCGTCATTATTATCGTTACACACAACTGTTATACGGCTGGTATATTATCGACACTATAAAACACAACGTCTACGGCCGTCGGCGGCGGGGACGGGTGGGGGGGGNGTGGGGTGGGGGGGTAGGGGTAGGGGGTAAGGGGTTAAGGGGAGGGGGGAACGCTGTACCTACAACACCGCGGTACGGTACGGTCCGCCCGTGTACGTATAATGTTATGACGCGCTCGCAGTGCCCGCGCAGGTACGTACGTCCGTCCGGCCGTCGATTTTCAGCGCTTGTCCGGGGAGACGGAAAGAACGAAAAAGTCGTTTCGGGCCGCCCCGCCCCGCAGCAGCGTCGTGCGTTGCGCGACGCGATACGGTACCGCATGTACGTAATAATAACGTGTGTACCTCTGTTACAATACAACAACATTATCGCGCACAGAAGAAAACCGCTGCGAGCGTAATGTTGTTATTATTATTATTATTATTATTATATCGGTATCACACACGCGCGCGCGCGCACACACGGCTGCGTTTACGCGAGCGCGCGCACGCGCGCGTCGTCGTCGGCGGTGTGGGATCATGATCCGAGGTTGGCACGTATACATAATGCGCGCCCAACATGATATACGTACGTGTGGTGCGCGGATAGACAAAGTGGTTTCGAAACGACCTCCGCCCGGCGTACAGCGCGTATGTTATACGCGTACGCGCGCGCGGTACGCGTATACGTACAGTGCGCGTCGCGGCGCACGGGACGGGATACGTACGTACCTGCGCACGTATGTGTACCGCGACCGATCGAAGCGCGCGCGCGCGGGTTAAAAGAAGAGAAGAAAAAAAAAAAAATTAAAAAAAATAAAAAGAGCCACCAAAAACCGGTATGTACCGAACGCGCGCGCGCCCGCTTTACGCCATAACGTTACGTACGCGGCGCGCGCACGCGCACCGTCGCGAGTCGTCGACTCTCGCGCGCGTACGCACGCGCGCGCACGCGGACATTACCGGCGGGTAATATACCTGTGTATATAGGCGTACACAGCTCCGGTACATTATAATAATAATAATAATAATAATAATATGTAATACGAATAATTACAACGGAGCGTACACCTAGTTAAAAAAAAAAAAAAAACGCGACGACGACGGCAACAACGATAATATTATAATATTGTAGTACCATAGGCAACCTGCCCGAGCTTCGTTAAAACAATATTGTGATAACGTAACGCGGGCGTACGGTCCGTTATCGTGTACCCCGCGTAACGTCCGGCGCACGCCGTGTTCCGTATGCGAGCGTATGCGTTGTATTATCGTTATCATATACCACACGGCGTTTACGAATGTTCGGCCGTTTAATGTGCCGCAATACAATGCGCGCGTCGGTTTACGTAAACGTCAGGTTTATGTACGCGGTGACAGTAACGTCCGACAGTCGCCGCACTGTCGAGCCCAGCCGGACGGTTGCAGAGCGTGCACGCCAAAATCTCGAACGGCGAAATATTCGGTACCGGCCAATTCCCATCCCTCAGACCTATAGATCCCCTTGCATTAGGCGAATTCGTTTTAAAACTCGAGGGCTCCAATAACTCTGGGCGATCCGCAACATTATCGAATAATCTGTTGTACGAAAACTTCTCAGCTAATAATTTAAACCCGTTAGCCAAAGGCATATAATGGTGAAAAACCTACGTAGTTACGCCGTCATAACCAACTTTGGAGTGAAGAGTTCTCTGTGTATCACACTGAAAGCATAAAAACCGCAAAAAATGATTAGTACCGCCACTGAGTATACTATACCTATACCGCGGGTGTAGCGCCGACATTATTATAGCCGCTTGAGAAACTCAGGGCGAGAGTCAATAGCATCAGGGGTACTTACACAGGCGTCTTGTGACTCTTTTAATCCGCAGCGTTTGATATTCATCGTGTATCATTTCAAATTAATCTAACGCAAACATAGCGTTATAATAATACGTGGCAATAGCTTATGGCGGCCACGATTGCGTATTAATTTGTATTCACGCGTAAACACTAACCAGTACATCTCCCGTGACAGTAAGTGTCGCGTTTAGAATGCCGTGGCATTACTGTCGCAGTGTAGTATTATACGTGTATAATAAACACGAGAGTAACGGTTGTAAATCAAATGCATTATATGTTATACAAATATTGACGATAACGAGAAAGAAAAATTATAATATACAATGTTTTTGTTGTGAGAGGGAACTAAATATCAAATGAGTGGGAGGGATCTTCGCTTATCCGCTGACCAATACCGCCGTCGAACGTCGAACAGGCTCACGACACATTCGGTTGAACGAATGGGCACAGTAAATCGCGTTTGAGGACGGCGAACTGTAAAGTCTTGCGTGGAAAGTAAGACGGGAGAATCGACTTCACCAGACACTTTCAGAATACGCGTGCTATCAACTATACAATAATATTCGTAGAACAATATAAAACAATTGTGCAGCGATCGGAAAGTATAATCGTACTCGTACGGTGGATGATGGACACCCAACAAGAAGGCGTCAGTTCGAAATAACCAAGTGGCGGATCCAAAGCTTGTTCAAGAATGTTGGGGGGGGGTAAAGAATTAAAATAAATATATTTTATATCGCCCTGTAGCCCCGCTCCCTTCATTGAAAGAACCTGCACTGAATTCTTTCGTATTGCCAAAGCAAAAACAAAATCGATAATGTTTAACGAAGACACAGGCTTTAACTAGCTGTTTGTACACACTTACAAAGCCAATAATTCTCAAGGCCTCGCATGACACGATTAATATTATGATATTTATTAGAAAGTCGATAGTTTTAAAAAAGCAACGTAGGTACTGCGAATATTTTATAGAATTATGCAGGTATAGAGGTACCTACAAATATTACAAATAAAAATAAATATTTTCACTGTTTTCAGCGGTGCAATTAGAATTTGTTCAGGGAGGGGGGAGGAGGGTCCAAGAACATTACTACGAAACCATTATTACTGTATAAATATATGAACAATTGCTTTACAGGTGCAAAACCAAATAGTATTGAATTGTCACTCTTATATTTTGTTACTTTCAAGGGAGTTTATCGAGGAGAGAGGATGTTAAAGAGTCCGGTTCCCGATAATAAGTACATATAGAGTAAGTGTATTTATACAATAAAGTTTATTTGCACCGCGATCAGAATATTATTTAAGTGGTGCACCTGCGACTTGCATCGCCGGGAGAAGGTGTGAAACGTGTCGGAGTTTCAAACTGATTTCACAAACAACAATATTATTTTTTTTTTATCTATTTGAAGGATTTTGATGCATATTAAACTAAATTATTGTTCAAATGATTTACATCATATTTTATAGGTACACTCCTATAACAACAGTATATTATTTATTGATCCTTTATTTTTTTATTTGTTCAAATCCGAATAATATTAAAAATAAAACAATGAAAACAAAATGTAGGAGGTCAAAAATATACATAAACTCGTGTTAAATAATCACCGCACAATGTTTGATATGAACAAAAAAAACAATAGGTTTCAATTTATAAACATATTTTTAAAAAGAGCTGATGCTGGGGACGGGTGTGTTGCGGTTGTAAGTGGGAAGTTATTGGGAAGGTAGAATACAGTTATTTAATTTATATCTGTAAGGAACGATAAATCATTGCTTACGAAAAACAATTTGGAGCGAAGTTCCACCATACCATACACGTTTTGAAAGGTTGTATTGTTTACGATTTTCGTCAAAATTTGATTTTAAAACTCTTATAAAAAAAAAAAAAAAAAAAAAATATTATATCTCAATTTTTTTTGACCACTAAGTACGACTATTAATTAATCTCCTGTTAAATGTTCAAGCATTTTTCTCTGGTGTAACAATAATTTTATCCGCAAAGTACTTACAAACAAATTATACTCAGAATCGAATGTATTTATTTGTTTTCTACAAACAATTAAATGTACCTACTACAATTGTGATTTATTTCTATGTAAGCATATTAGTTTATTTTTTGTTATGTATATAATGACGTGTATTGTGTACTGTTATAGTACTTAAAAAATAAATAACGTACTGCGTAGGTTTATAAAACGTTCCTTTTTTTTTTCTGTTTGGTACAAATGTTTTATTGCATATTATAATATAATATAAGCGATTAACCCTGAACGTTTCTATGCACTTTTCGTAATTTTAATTTTACATAATAATATAATAATCGTGTCATATATTTTTTTTTTCTTTAGTGCACCGTCACTCCACCGTATAATGAAATTCCGGTCTCTATAGGCCTGTGAGGCTGTACATACGAAAGTTGTTCGGCGGAAATAGGTAGCCAACCGACTAACGACAATGTATACTCTCGGATATAGAGCAATCATTCCGTCGGGGGAAAAAAAAAAACCAAACCGGAACGTCGAAACGTCTCTATCGGAACTATATTAAAATAATAATAGGTACGACCCGGTATTATAACTTATACGTGAAATTATTCGCGTGTGCCTATGTATCATCATTGTCGTAAATTATTAGATTATTTGTTTTATCGTGTATGTATACCTATAGGTACTATACGTATTATGTAACCCGACGAAGAAAACGGGCACAATTGCGTATACACACACATATTATCTTACTCCTCGACACACTTAGGAAAAAAAAAAAAAAATCATTCTGCAACAAGAGCTAGTACTATTATGATAACTATTTTATACTATAATAAGTGTACTTACCACCTACAGCTGCTGCCACCTCTTCGCTCTACCCGCGTGTATAATATATACGAATAGGTACTATAACTATATTTTTCATTTCTATTGTGTATCGTGTCGTACACACTCGGTACCTATAATATATTGTCTACGCGCTTGTAATTACACATAACCGTTGTATTTATTTAATTTGGTTTTACGAAAGTCCCCGCAGCTACACGTTTTGTCAATATTTGTACTCCAGAACAATCCGACTTGTTGTCGCATTTATGCAGTGTATATGCCAGTGATTGAAGTGGCAAGTTTTCGAAGGGTAACTTACCGAAAATTTGGGGACGTTCCAAAGAACTGACCAAACCTCATCAAGCTTTCAGGGAGCCCATTAGAGAGACGAGATTTCCAACATTTTTTCCTCTCACACGCATTTATTTGTTCATAAAAATGTCATAATACTATAGGATTTAAAAAAAAAATGCACACCTCCCCTAAGATATTTTCCTATGCATATCTGTCTGCTCGATGAAAGTAAAACAGATTCTGATTACGTACAATTTTAATCTAAATATTTAGATTGATTAACAAGTTTTGACGGGAGTGATTTTATGTGTTATGATAAAAAAATATCATATTTTTGTTCGTCGATATCACAGCTGAAAAAATAGATATTTAAAATCACCATTTACACAAATTTTAAAAATTGGAGACAATTTTAATAACCTACACCGATCACCTTAAGTACAAAAATTTAGTAATATACATATGTATATATATTTTAGTTGAATAATTATTAGACAATAATATTATTGTGTGTATAACTATTATTATATACGTGTTTCTTTAAATTTTCTTTTTGGTAAAACTTGACGGGTTTGAATAATATAACTTGGTTAAATAAAGTTAATTGACAACAAATTAATTATTTGTATTTTATTAATTATTATTTTATTTGATAATTATAGTATTATTTGTTTTCATTAAAATTGTTAATATCATATTATAATGCGGAAAACTATTAAACCCTAAGATAGTGATTTTTTTAAAATAGTAATTACCAATCAATACGTAAAACCTCTTGGAAAATCAAAAAAGAACTTTCTTAAAGTTCCAAAGTACCAGAAAAAGTGCTACACTTTAAAATTGAAGCAAGATTTTTGGTAGAAAAGTTGTTCATAAATAAAAAAAAAAAATAAACATCATTGTAAAACTAGTAAATATTCCTCGCCTATGTTCTGAATCTAAACCAATTGAAATTAACATCACGTGTTACGTATATATTTCAAAATGAATTCGTTGTTTGCAACAAAGTTTACACGAAAAAATAAATAAATTGAGTTAATTTAAACAAAAATGAAAGGCTATAAAAGCTCTAAAAAATAAAAAAATTAAATCAACTAAACCTTTGACGTTTTTAATACTCGTTAATATTATAAATACCTAGCGTTGCGCCTGTTGATCGCTATACAAATTTATTTAGTTCCATATAGGTAGCACTAAAATCACTTTATTATATCTACCTACCTACTTGAATATTTAGTGAGTCAGTAAGTGTGTGATTAATTAGCGTAAACGTGTTTTTTTAAATATATTTTCTTATAGAAAAAAAAACAATTTATAAAATAACACGTTTGATTTTAATTTTATTATTTATTATGTTAGGTTAGGTTAAGTTGTTAAATGGTACTATTAGCATATTAAGGCTGTGAATTTAATGCGTTAAACCACTAATAAACTTGCACGGTGTAATTATGCAATAGAAACTGACGAAATGTAGACGTAGAAATATATAAAAAAATGCATTAATTTTTAAAGAATAAGTAAAAAAAAAAAGACAGACATACTTTGCAAGTAGGTGCAATCATTTTTGTAGGTGAGAAGATAGGATACAGATGGGATTTCAATGAGATATCTTTAATATATATTTAATGTATAAACAACAATAAATCATTGCTAAAGAAAACACGATTTTAAGTTGATAGTGTTGCATTGTCAACAATACAGGTAAAATAATTAAATAGACATTATATATATTTTTAAATAATATTTATTTAATGATACATCGATTTTCCCGGTTTCCCATTTTCTTTCCAGGTTTACACACATGATATTAAATGAATAAAAAAATTAAATAAAGATATTAAATTCTCATCTGTATCCTACCTTCTCAACTTCCCACCTACAACAGTGGCTGCACCCACATGCAAAATATGTCCGTCCTTTTTTTATTGTTATTATTATTATTTAGATGATTTAATTAAAGTAGTATACATGACGATTTCACTACTTTTTTCTTAAAATCGAACTTAAAAAACTGTTCTAGGATAACGGAGATGGGTGAAGTCACTTTATAGGTAATTGAATGTATACCTGGAAGCAATGATTAACCACTGATAATGAAAAAACGATTCTAAGCGAAGTTCAGATGATTGTGATGCTTTGTCAACTAAATACATGTATATATATATATATCATATTATAGTAGAATAATAAAATAGACATTATACTGTATATTTTCTTTAATAATATTTATTTAATTCTGTACTGATTTTCCTAGTTTTCTCATGTTTTTCCAAGTTTTTCACATTTGTAAGGAAAACTCTTAAGAAAATCGAAAAAAACCTCATTAAAGTACCTAAGATTTCTGGTAGTAAAGTTGCGCACAGACAAAAAAAAAAGTAAAAAAATAAAAATCTTTGTAAAACCATAAGCTTCTTCGCTCCACTCAGAATCTAAAATCAGTTAAATGAATTAAAAAAATTGTACGAAATTAAATCATTTTTTAAAAAAAAGAAGTCGGACTTCCAACAGGAAATATGTTTATTTTACTCCGGTTTATAGGTATAAAAACGAATCCTGAACCTTTTTTTAGGAAATAAAATTATTTTATCATTTTCTAAATAAAATTTCGGATCTGCAATTTTTTTTTTTTGTATAATATCATGTTTTTCACATAAACCATATACATAGTGATTCATTAGGCAGGCTCACCACATTTTTTTGGTTAAGTTTTGCATTTTTACAAATTATGATTTTGGAAATTTTTAAGTGTTAAAGACAACACTTTTATACACTTATATTTTTCACAACATTTAAGGTCTATCCTGTCAGAAATACCAACTTTAGCTCTTTAAGGAGTACCTATATTAAAAATGCCATTAAATAGATGAAATATTAAATAAAATATATTTCGTGTTGAAATTTTTGATTTCCGGCAACTCGTTCGCGAGATATTTCATTTTTAAATTTAGGCAGGTGGAGCATATTTGTGTAGAGGTACAGCGCCTGGTGTTAGAATTACCATAGATACCCGCACAGCATAGGGATTCCACTACAATAATTAAAAACCGTTTTTTTTTTCACCTGCGTTACCAAAGTAATAACCCATAAATCAACAAAAATAATTCGTTTTTTTTTTTTTTTAAAAATACCTAAAATCCGAAATTTAGGGGATGGTATTCAATACGGGATGCATTTCAATAGCCATAAACCTTTCCCGGACAACGCGGAGCATTTTGCGAAAAACCGCATAAAAATCGCTCCAATCTTTTTTGAGTCTAATAATCGTATGCATACAGATAGATATCCAATAGATTTCTTGTCCGTGACACCCAAATTGACAGCAATGCCACTAAGATAAACCACAAATAAACAAAAGAAATGAAATAAATAATTAGATTCGTATCTAGAATACCTAAAAACCTAATTAAAGCAATTTGCGTTGGGATCTCTAATTTGTTTGAAAATAAAATACAGCCCGTGTTACTCACTAATAACGTAACTTTTTATTGGCGAAAGAAATTTTAAAATCGGTTTAGAATTTTTTGAGATTATCCATTACAAACACACAAACAAATCTTTTCTTTTGAAAAAATATTAGTTTATAGATATATTATGTATAATAATATCGGCGGCCATTATAATATGCGTATTACGGATGTTATTACGTATTATCAGTGTTCGGTAAGTTCCTTTTAAAACGGAATTCGTTGCCTTTTCTCGTTCCTTTTTTTTAAAAATTTTATTAATAGGTAATGCCGTCAAAAATATTTTTATTTTTATTCTCAATAATTTGTAAATATCATTGTAAATTTGCTTTGGAAATATATCTACATACACATTGTTGGTATTAAAGGTTTTCATGAGTTATTCATTAGTCACTTGAGTAGATACCAACCAAATTTTCGTAAGGAAATAAGTGTAGTGTGAGTTAATCGAGTAAACTAAAATTGGAAACTATTCTTATTTCTAAGAATTGATGCGTTTAAAATAGAAATTAATGTAATCTAATTTATTTCCTATTCTAAAAAATGAAAACGAAAAAACACATAATTTGAAAAAAAAAAATGATTCGTCAATTAACTCAAAATTCAAATTCATTATTTGATATCATTGTATCATTGTTATCATATTAACCGTCGTTACCGGGACACCGTTTTTTATTACGGTTACACAATTATACAGCCGTAGTTTATAATATTAGTATTGTCATACTACACTTTGTATTTCAATAAAAATGGAAAAGTTAAGATTGCAATATTGCAATAATATATTATGCCTATTTGTTAGTAACTGACGAAGTGATATCAACACCAAATAACTTCTAGACAGTGTTATCATTGAAATAACGTCCGTTTTATTTTTATTTTTTCATAATATGAGGAACGAAAATTTGGCGTCACGTTTCTCGTTCCAATATTTGAAAACGAATGTGTATCATAGAAGCAAATAGCGTTTGATATTTATTTTTTTTTTTTGGGGGGGGGGTTGATGATTTTAGCTTTTTTTTTGTTACTCTTATGCTCTTATGATATATCTCAATGTGTTATGTAGTGAAATCATTAATTTATTTTTTATATTTTGGTGGGAAGCTACAGCAGTTCTAGAGAAGCTAAGCCCCTAGCTCTCCCCCCCTTATGAATGCCTATGAATGCGTTCCTATGAAAGGAACGCTTTCCTTCCAACACTGGTTATTATTTTAAACCCACTTAATTGTTAATATTATATACAGAAAATAACCTATATAATATAACAATACCGAATAAATCGGCAGACTGCAAATATAGGTACCTGAGAATAAGTTGATAATATAGCGTATCCATTTATCCGAAACTATAAAATGATCGAATAACAATAATAACCTAACCTACTGGGCGGGACTATACGGTTATAGTCTGAAAGGCCCTCCTCAGACTAAAAGGTTCTGAGGGTATATAGCCCTCTCCGGCTATATTATATTCTATAGGCTGTTTTGTCCTGAACGAATTTTATTAAATTCACCTAGATTTAATTTTTATTTATAATGAACGTTATTTTGCGAATACAGTCATCATTATTATACATCAGTATAATACTATTATAATATACAGTGACGTATTTTCAGGGGGGGGGGTCCCTGGTCTCGACCTCTCAAGAAGAAAAATTTTTATTCAAAAGTCATAAATTACTTACTACGAAGGTATAGAAAAAGAGAACATTAATTTATACCGGAAGATTTTTTTTATCATGAACCAGTAATTATCTAGATTTTAAGTGAATTTGATTTCTATTTTTTTTTTAATCTTTGTAGAATCGTTTAAGCTTTATTTTAAAAACATTTTAAACCTTTTACTTTTACTTCATACAACCCCCCTCTTTTTTAGAACATAGATTCGAAAAAGGATATTTTACTAGAAACGTTGATATGCGTGACACTAATATCAGATTTACCGTTTATAAGTTATAACTGTTTAAAGTTTAGACCGCAGGAGTAGGGAAGAGAGTTATCAGTTATCCTTTAAAGTAGATAAGTATTTATGGAGTAGAGATAAAAATTTAAAAATGGTTTTAAACATTACAAAGTTTAAAACAAATATAAATCAAATTCACTTAAAATCTTTCGAGATAATTATTGGTTCGTGATGAAAAATAATCACCCTTTTTTTAGAAAAATTTTAAACCCCCCGCCCCACACGAAATTGATATAACCGACTCTGATCATATATATATATATATATATATATATATATAGGTATATTGAATTGTTAAACATTTCGATAAGTGTTTCGAAAACATTTACATCGTTTATGGGGCACGAGATAAAAAAAAAAAAAAAAGCCGAAAAGTACCGTCGCTCCATTATGATCGTCTCGCGGCCCGGCACTACAAAGCACCCCTTCCCCGCCACGGGTCCCGCGGATAATATAATGTCACAATAAAATACAAGACCGTGTAAAACGCCCCGCGACAGGACGCACGCGGGGCCGCGACAGAAAACGTTTTAGAAGAAACGGCGTCGACGACGGGTATAAAGGAGAAGAAGAAAAAAAAAAAAAAAAAGAAAAAAGATAGGTATATACCTCGCGTATACCTATACGAATAACACACACACACACACTATTGTACGTATATATATACACGAGTATTGTACCTTGACAGGTGTGAACTGTTTGTCCGCAATTTGAAATATATATATATAATACTGTATTATGTATATATATATATATATATATACTCTCGCACCACCTGTATACCTATATATATATATATACCTATATTATTATTGTAATTGTAGGTGCCTATATAGAGTGGTGATCATAAAAACGACGATCTCGGTCGCGGGTACTTTTTTTTTTTTTTTATTGTACAACAACTACGGCGGCGGGACGTTATAGTGACTTTATCTTTTCCGTACGCATTATGCTTACGTGTACGTATATATATATATATACGTACAATAATCGTAATAATTAAAATGTTTTCCCTTTTTTTTTTTTTTTTCCTGTCTCTTCTAATCTGTAAACACGTAAACACGTGTCTGGCGCGACGACGACGACGACGACGCGACGCGCGGGGGTTGAGGAAGGGGAAACCGGCGGAAAAAAAGAATAATATACCTAATAAAATAAAACAAATCTTCGGTTATGATATTTTACGAGTAAGATCATCATTATAGGCACCTATTATATAGATAGGTATACACGATAGTATACCTACCATACGGAATAAACCGCAACGGTATCGTTAGAGAAACGCGTACACGTATAATACGCGGCGGTGGATTTTTTTTTCGTGTTTTTTTTTTTTTTTTTCGCGTACCTACACGATTTATCGAGAGTGTATAATATTATTATACGTATTTTAATGGTGCGAATGTTTATAGCACGTGTATATTATAGTTGGGGCGGGAAAAAAAAAACATTTCCATATTCACACGGTCTGTGTGAATAAATTATACACGGCGATCCGTGCCGTGTCGATTCGACTATAATATATTTTTTCGTCTTACCTTCGAACTTTTTTTTTTCCTCTGTAATAAATTATTCTCTCCCGCTATTTGTCGGGCTCGATCCTTTCCAAAGCAGAAATCAATAAAATAAATTCAATTTGTT